TTATTATATATATATATATATATATATATATATATATATATATATATATATATATATATATATGGCATGCATGTTAATCTTCCTTTATAAATTTAGAGCCGTTATCATTTAAAAAACTTGTGCCGTTCAATGGCTAATTCACAATCTGATTCTTCAGCAGATTTCCAACGGCAGAAAACTGTCAATTTCAATATAAAACAGGACGACTGAGTTTCCAGTGAGGTGCCAAACTCTCGCTGGTTCTTCCCCCGGTTTCGTCTGTAGAACGGGGAAGATTTAAATCTCAGAGAAAGATGGCGTCAGACTCCTGCTCTCCACTCTTTCTCTCCCTCTCTCTTTCCGCTACGGAAGAAATTATCGGCGGAGATCCTTCAGAACTACTATTTTCCTCAAATTTAACGAAATATTTAAGATTGTTGTTGGCGAAAGCAGACATTCATTCGATCGAGAGCTCATGGAAAGCTCCGGCACTCCTCCCCCTCCTCTTCCTTCTTCTCCGGCACCGCCGCATCGGCTGGCGGAGGAGTCCACCGCGCGACCCCGCCGTACCCAAATCGGCAGGTTTGCCCATCTCATCTGTTTAGGATTTTTATATATTTTTTTAGTTTTGGTCTACTGTGGCTTCTTGGAATGCCTTTTTTCCTTGATTGCAGAAAAAAAATGGAATTCGTTGTTCGATTTAAATGTAGCTGTTTAGGGTTTTCTTTCCATGTTCTGTAATTTTCAGGGTTTCTGTTCGGCCACGAATAGGATTTAGTAAATCTATTAAATTCTGTAGGATGAAAGTGTTCAATCTTGCCAAATCCCTAAAACCTATTGGTGTATTTTTTCCCGGATTTAGGGTTTATGAGAGCAAGAACACCTTGATTTCGTTAAAACCTATGAAATTGAATTTAGCTAATAATGGAGTCGAAACTTAATCTATTTGTTCGCATCGAAGTTAAGGATTGGATTAGCACTTGAAACCTGTTTTGCAGGCATTAAATCACACTGGGAGTGGCGGAGGACGAATTACATCATCTCATCACCCTAGGCGGCCCAAGCTATCTTCCTTGGAGATTCCAGGCAGGTCTTTAGAGAACTCAGCACCTAATTCAACAAGGATAAATATCGTCCCTTCAGGCACTCCAAGATCGGCGAGATCGGGTTTGCCACCCAGGCCTTCTTCAATGAGAGCGCCACCGACTGCAAATCCTCTACCACAATGGAGTTGGATAAAGAACGAAGCACCTAAAGGAGACAGAACAGCTCTTCTTACTCCAGGGACCCCCTCACAAGAACTGGGGACCTCGACACAAGAACAGCCAAATAAACCTTCTCCTTCAGTGACATTCTCTTTAACCAGAGCCCTTTTTACAAAAACAAAAATGACGATCTCTTTACCTGCATCACCTGTTGCAAATTCATGCCCTGAATCTGCACATGACAGACATGTGATTGACCTTCATGCTTCAGACGTAAGTTTTCAATGTTTTGATTCTAAATTTACACGTGATTTACACTATGATTCTGATATAAAATTTTCTTTGTGGTACTCCTATTACATATGTATCATTAGAAATAAATCCTATAAAGTGTTTAGATAGGAGCTACCATCTTTTTCCCCATTACTTGCACTAACTGCTGGTTTTGCACTCTGAAAATGGTAAGAGTGAAATCTACCTAATCTGATACATAATAGGTTGAAGGGAAACATAATTCATGGGTTTAATTTATAAATGTTGTTTTTATAATGTTTTTCAGACTGTCAGATTAAACATCAGGATCAAATCATACCACATAATAGTTCTATGCAAGCTTGGAAAAAAATGGGCATTTACATACATACCACCCATTTCTTATATATTTACTTATCTAATACCGAAACTTTACATTTCTACCGCCCGCCCAAATCTTTCATATCACATTGAAAAACAAAATATAAAGAACGACTCAGATTCTGCAATTTGAGTAGACTATCTACTATAATTTTTTGTACAATATTCAAGATCAGTCACCACCATGTATACGATTTCAAGCACAGTAACTTTTAAATTTGTATCTTCATGCAAAAATTTGTATGATGGCTACTTTAGGTTTCAAGTGGTTTTGATTCATGAATGATTATTGATAAAGCAAACTGGCATTTGCTACATGTCTCACAATTTCTATGTATTTACATATCTAACACCTAAACTTTGATTTTTTAAATTTATTACTCTCAAATCTTAAAGTGTTTTGGATGTAAAAATCACAGTTTTGGTGTTAGATACATATAAATACAAAGGATTGTGTTGTGCATATGTATGTGAATCTTCCAAAAAAAAATATTGTACCGCTTTAAAACCTATCGTATGTTGCTTCCAAGGAGAAACATCATTTCCAAAGATTTGCATACCAATAATATTCTTACAGATCACTGTTGAAGATGTCAAATTGCTTCCCCAGTTTAAACCTGTGTAGAGTTTTGGCCTAAATTTATTTGGAATCTATTTAATCATTTAGTACTAATATCTACTCAATAGAACTGCTTTCCTACTCATTGCTGACTTTTTTGACGATTTCGTTTTTTATTCATAGAAACCTCAAGAACAAAATCAAATGACACGCTCACGTTCAGTACCAGGGAATGCCAAAAGTAGGAGTTTGAGGATAGTGGATTCGCCACGTATGATCCGTGTAATTCCAGTAACTCCTCGTCCTGTTCCGGATGAAAATGACACGCGAGTTGAAATCACCGAAGAAGCTAATGGTACTAAATACTCATTTATCAATATTTACGTGAATCTAAACATCATATACTATTCTAATTCACAATCATTAATAATGAGTGAAGTGCCAAAATAGTCTCTAACTATTAACTTAGGGCAATTTTAGTTCCAAAGTTTATAAAGATGTTAAAATTAGTCCCCAAAATCTTATAATGGGGGCTAAAATAGTCATCATTTGGGACTATTTCAAACCATATTAAAAGTGTTTGTGGATTAATAGCAGTTTTGTAAACTTAGGGACTAAAGAATAAGGGAACTATTTTTGTACTTCATTAATAACCAAGTTTACATCTTGTTAGCACAGTAGCTTTTTAAACCTGCTATATTTATGTTGAGAATACCAATTTATAATCGCCATTTTCTTGAATAGAACCTAACAAAGTTTTGGCGTACTGTAACAATTTAGTTGATGAAGGTGAAGTTGAAGGTGAAGACATTCCAGAAGAGGAGGCAGTGTGCAGGATATGTTTGGTTGAGCTGGGAGAAGGAGGGGAAACTTTGAAGATGGAGTGTAGCTGCAAAGGAGAACTTGCTCTCGCACACAAAGAATGCGCAATAAAATGGTTTAGCATTAAGGGAAACAAGATTTGCGATGTCTGCAAGCAAGATGTTCAGAACCTGCCAGTTACATTGCTGAGGTTACAGAGCACTCAGGTTTCTCATAGACGGGTTGCTAATAGGGTTTCACATGGAGGTGCTCTTCAGTACAGGTAATAGCAAACCATTGAGATTGAATGACTTAAAAATAGTTTGCTTTTTTAATTTTTATTTTGAGTCTGACATAATCCCGATGTTAAGAAAAGCAGACCTAGATCTAAAAAGATTTGGGTATATTGTATAAAAATGATTTTAATATGTTAGAATTAAATAAAAATATGACACTCAATAGGACGTAATGGAGAAAAAGGACTAATGTAGCTGACCCCACTTAGTGGGATAAAGATTTTTTGTTATTGCTGTTGCTGTTATAGTTCTACATAATCCTAAATTTGTGAGAATCTATAATGATCCTGGAAATTTTTCACATTGTAGACCAAATTGACAATTTTGTAATCTCCATCATTGAAATAAAATCTCATTCACCTTTAAAATGAGACTTTGGTGGGACCAAAGAAGTATATTTTTCTTTTTATTTTATTTTATTTTCTTTTTTTTTGCTACTAAATGGATTTATATAAAAATTGTGTCATCTAATTTTGAGTCTGTGGTGTGGGTGTCGGAGTTAACACAAACAACAATGGGAAATGCACTTTATTATTAGAAACTAAATAGGGGTTACAACATGTACAAAAATAGGAAATAACAATGATAACAAAACACAAATGCCAAACTAGGGCTCAAGACGATGGTGGTGGTAAGGCAGAGGTAGGATGGCTCCGGGTAGGGGAAATATCAAGCAACAACAAACAAGGGGAGGTGGTTGGCGGCAAGGGCAGCAGAAGGAAGGTGATTGTTGGGGCGGCGGGATGGCAACAAACTAATGGCTGGCCTGCCTTATGGTAGAAAGATTGTTGGCCAATGGCTGATTGCAGTAACCTGATGGCTGGACTGCAACTCAACAAGAAGGTTGGTGGCAAGGTGGATCACAGGAGGATTGGGGTTGGCGGAAAGGAGAGCAACAGAAGGGAGCATTGTGGAGGATGGAAAGATCGAGAATAATCACCACTTAGGACAAAATACAATTGGAGCAGCAATCTTCATCGAATACAACTCTAGAAGGGAAAACCTGGACGCCAACGACTGTTCTGACAAAAAAACTAAATCAAAACTTAAACTTAGAACATTAGGATCACAAATATATAACCCTAGGATAACTAGGAGTGGACCCCTCTATTGAAAGGAGGCACCAACCTCTTTAGAAGAGTCGACCGACTCTCCCACTTGGGTAGACTGAACAATCCAGCCTTGTCAGGCACAATTCCGCTCTCTATCAATGCGCAATCCAACAACCAATCATGAGAGATCCCGTTCCTGCCCTAGCAGACACCTGTGGTCAGTCTACTGGGGTTCAGGGAGCTTCGACCTATTCATCGAAGCCTTTGTCTCTTCATAGTATGATTTCAGATCGGCCATGTTGAAGGCCGTGGAGCTACTGTAACTTTCCAGTAAGTCAATCAAGCAGACATTGTCATTCTAAATCATATCATGATAGAATAAATAGTCATTCTCTTTCGACATAACTTGAGCTGGAGTTGCATGTGGATGAGTATCCTCATGAACTAAACCTCGAGCCATCAAATCTATAATTGGCTTCCTACACTCATTGTATTCATTTGAGTGTATCTAATCAACAAGTATGTAAGGAAAAAATCAAGTTTGGGACAAAATCTATGGCAGACTGGACAAATTTCAATAAATAACACTTAGGAGAGACATCTCTTTCTTTATTAGGATATAGATCTCATTACAGGTTATTGTTTCCCCAAAAGATCCTAAGGTGATATCCAACGCAGTGGTTCATCCATTTTGTCTTATCATCTGTCGATGGTTGCTCTATTGAATTGATTTTACTACCCAAATGATTTCATATAGACTTCCAGAAATGACATAAAAGAGTCTCATCTCTAAAATATTGGACCTCCCTCAGTAGGGGCAACTCAAGAAGTAGGCTATATATTTGAAAAGTTTGAAATTCTCTTTTCTAAGATTGTCATATGTCTGGCGTGGTTCCTTGGACTTAGGACCGCCATGGACCACCAATATTAATTCTGTTGGAGTCTCTGTTATGGGCTCGACTTGAACTACATGCTTTTCTTCCTCATTAGTTGAAATCTGGCACTCCTTTTGTGTCCTCGCTTTCTTTAATGTCTATTGTATCACTGTTCATTTCTTCAGTTGCTCCCTGATTATTGAATGAGACCATTCTCCTAATTTGGTAATCCGATTCAATATGCTCATATTCGTGACATTTTAAACACTTTCTGGCTGGGATGAATTTGAGAATGCGGATTGATTTCACGTGTTCTCCACTCTGAATTGATGTCTCATCAGATCAGTTAGCTCGGATGCCCCGTTGGGTGTACTTGCTCTTGATCGTGGGGTTGAACTATGTCTGTAAGATGTTTCAGTCATCTGGTGATGTTACCTATCCATTTTTTGAAGCTAGGGTATGAACATTCTGTTTGTAATAAACTGATAGGTACTGGTGCTTCTTTTTTTGTTTCATCTTTAGACCAAACATTGATATTTCCTTTTTCCTTGCACTGGCGTATGTGTTTCAAATTTTTCCACCAAAATAACATACTCTTTTTTAACTTATTGGTGAATAGTTTCACCATTCTGTTTGAGGGGATTTCCTGATCTCAAAGGCACGTTCCACTATCTAGAGTTATTCAATGAACTCGTCCGAATCTATGTGGTCGTCAACATCTAAATCAAAACTTAACGCTACATTAATTGATACAATCAATAAATACAACATTAATAGAGCATACAATAAAATGAACTAATTCAGCTAACTAATAGCATCCATAAGCCAGACAATTTCTGACGAGTTCCATGTAAAAATGAGTTACATGTTGAGTTCTAGTATACAATTTCCTTTGAAAAGTTACTCCAGATCGCTTCTTTTACGAGAATTTTTAGATGGCCTGATGAGTACCTTAGATGAATAGCTGACAATTTTGATGAGTTGGGTTTAAATTTATAAGATGATTTGATCAACCCAACGTAGATGAACAAACGTATATTTATGAATACTTTATTTTAAATATTTGAATTGAATGAGTAAAATCATAATTTTTAATAGGAAGAGCTGACTAGTAACTTTGATGAGAATAATATGACAAATAACTTTGAGTAGGATGAGCTGAGTAATGACATCGAATATAACCAATAAAAAATAATAGCTTTGAATTGCTGCCTGTTCTATGGTCAGAAGCTTTTATGTCCCCTCTCCTTTCTCTCTCCTTTTACTCTGTATAGATATAGTAGGTAACATGCTTGAATTTATTAGATAGATGCGATCGATATCGTAAGATAAATGAAAAAAGATAATGAATTTGTAGGAGTTGCATAATGGGTAGCAGATAGAAGCTTATATGAGTCGAGTAAAAAAAATCTCATGTTTTAATATTATGTACTAAAATGCTGGTATTTGAAAAACCTGTCTTTTCTTTTGCTTCATTGGAGTGGGAAGATTTACATACATACCTCTAAATTCATATATATTTACATATCTAACACCTAAAATTTAATTTTTATATATATGCCGTCTTACCTATGTATGAAAATGTGTATTTCTCTTTCAAAAGTTAAAAGAAATAATTAAATGCGAAGCACTCAAAGCTTTGCTATTTACAAAACTAACAACGTGGTCAGTTTTTCGAGTATGCATGCCATGATCAAAACATTGAGAGTTTCATGGAAATGAAAAATATGAGTTGGGGTTTTGTTGTGAATTTTGATATTTGAGTGAGAATTTGAAAAACTGATGCTAGTTTTATAAATAACAAAGTTTTGAGTGCTTTGTATGCAAAATTGCCCCAAGTTTAAATAGTGGTATTTTTTATGTGATATGAAAGATTGGGTGGTATAAATGTAAAAAGCAAAATTCAGGTGTTAGATATGTAAATACATACGAATTAAGCGTTTCATATGTAAATGCCATATTCTAACTTAGATTGGAAACTTTACTTACTTTCCTATAGGATGTGGCAGGATGTACCCGTACTTGTCATGGTTAGCATACTCGCCTATTTCTGTTTCCTGGAGCAACTTTTGGTAAATTCTCTATGCCTTGTAACAACTAGAATAATATCGGGAAGATTTACATAAATTTCGCTCAGTTCCTATGTATTTACATATCTAACAACTAAACTTCAACTTTTACATACATACCACTTACTTAAGCATGAAAAGTTGTATTTCACCTTCTAAAAGTTAAAATAGTGGTATTTTTGATGTGACATGAAAAACTTGGGTGGCATATAGATTGTAAAGTTTGCGTGTTAGATATGTAAATATATATGAAATGGGTATGTAAAGGTCCCATAATATTTACACTTCCCACAAGCTAGCTTTGTGAATCTTTTCTTATTTGTACATATGAAAATGAATGATTATTTTAATTAACAGCTAAGTGCAATGGGTCCCCGTGCTCTTGCTCTATCTCTGCCTTTTTCCTGTCTGTTGGGGATTCTCTCATCCTTGATAGCATGCACAATGGGTAACTATTGCTTTCTTCTTATCTGTAATATTTTAAACATAATATTTTCTTCTACAGCTAGTTAATTTTAATATTTTCATAATGAGAACCAAGGTTTGAAATTCAGTTTCAGATTTGGTTTCGGTCTAGCAAGCTTTCAGTTTTAGTAATAAGTTTTGATTATTCTGTAACAATTAAAAAAATAGGAAATTTACGTACTTAGCACACAATTCCTATGTATTTACATATCCCACATCTGAAATTTCATATTTACTCACAGCACTTTGACATTTTAAACATGTGCACGAAAATGTGTATTTGACTTTTAAAAAGTGATAATAGCTATTTCTGATGTGATGTTAAAGATTTGAATGCTCTGTGTGTAAATATGAAAGTTTAGGTGTGAGATATGTAAATACATAAAATTGTGTGCTATGTAGGTAAATGCCCCAAAATATCAGACCGAGGAACTTATTTGAACATAGTTTTAACCGAAAGATAGTTTTATGTAAAAAGAATATGTTGTCTTAAAACACAACACACCGTTGGAATAGAAAATACAATCTGGAACAACAATGTTTGTAGAATTACTTGAAATTTATTTATATAAATATCTTACAAATCAGGAGTTTGTGTATAATAGCTCTGTCAGCTGGTATGGATGCTACATGCGGCTTCTGATTGGTTGGATGAATCTTCCTCATCTGCACCTAATAATTTCTAGTGAAAATTAGCAGAGAAACTGAAAAAACAGCAAAGTTTCTAACTTGTTGGTCGGTTCAATTCTGGCAGTGAAAATTAAATCATGATGAAAACAATATATTTAAGAAATCATTAGTAAAAGATGTTTGATCACAACGGATGTATCTCTGACTGCATACTTATGATCACAACGGATGTATCTTTTCAGAACATTCACATACATATGACCCAACTCTATGTATTTTAATATCCAACACCTAAACTTTGCTTTTTTACATTTATACCACCCAAATCATTCAAATCACATAAAAAATATCACTATTTCAAGAAAAAAATATTGCTTCCGGAGTTAGGCCGCAGAGCTGCGTCCTGACAACGGAAGTGATACAACGGGGCAGAGCGGGAGCTCGGACCTCCTCTGTATCACGTCCGTTGTACAACGGATAACGCAATATTTTCTCTTATTTTAACTTTTAAAAAGGGAAATATACATTTTCATGCATAAGTAAAGTGACATATATGCAAAAATTGAGGTTTAGATGTTCGAGATGTAAATCCATAGGATTTGAGGTTATGTATGTAAAACTTCCCATCTTTTTTTTATAACAGGGTATTATGCATACATACTAAGCAAAGGACATCTTGAGCTCTTGGCCTGAGAGGGTTAAAATTTTAAGCCTAGAGCTTATCATTGCTTAAGCAAATTTATTTATGTGATTAACTATAGTGACTTGTCTTTCCATTTTCTTCTTATGCTGATGAATATGAGTTACAAAACAAGAAATATCTTTTAATAATCATTCTCATCTGTTCTTTCACCATTCATGTTCATGCTTTTTAATATCTCCAAGAATAATTGATTTATATTTTTTTTGTTTGCTGCTATGTCTGCAGTTACCAGAACATTCATTTGGACTTATGCTTCCTTCCAATTCGCAATTGTTGTCTTATTTGGTCACATTTTCTACACTGTAGTAAGTGAGAAAATCTTTTGTATTGGAAGAAGAAAGATTTACATACATTCCACTCAATTTCTATGTATTTACACATCTAACACCTAAGCTTCATTTGTTACATAAATATGACCTTGCCCAAGCATGAAAATGTGTATTTCATTTTTTAAAAAGTTACAATATTTATTTTTTTAATGTGATAAGAAAGATATGGGTGGCGTAAATGTTAAAGCAAAGTTTAGGTGTTGGATATATAAATTCATAGTAATTCGGTTATATGTGTGTAAATGCCCTGAAGAAGAAATGTCATATTGAAATTTGGAGACCAATTAGTCCTAATGTTTTTATTTTTTTTCTGAATTTACGCAGCTTAAAATTGTTTCCGTGTTCTCCATTCTACTTTCTTCGTTCAGTGGGTTCGGTGTAACAGTAGGCGGAAATACTTTGTTTGTTGAGTATTTGAGATGGAGAGATAGGAGAAACAATCGACATGAAAGAAGGCAGAACAATAATGGTTCGCAGCAGCAATCAAATGAACATAGCATTGTAGCGGAACGAGTTGAACATACCCAGCAGCAAGAGTTTGTGAGCTACATTTCAAATAGGAGTGTTTTGTAGCGCAGTTAAAAGTCAGTTATGAAGCTATTTTCAGGTATTTTTTTAACTTACAATACTAAGTCCTGATCTTTGAGCTGAATGTTGACAAGGGTAACTGATAAAATATAATCATATTAGTAAAATCCAGAGTGAAACAATGGAGTTTTCTGACAATTTTTTTCACTTATGTATTAAATATTTGACTAGAAACTGACGTAGGAGTTTTCCACCCGTAGTACTGTAGCAGATACAGTACCGTGGTTCTTTCTTGCCTTTTTAGCTTCCCCCTCACCTTTTAACTCCTTTTCATAAAGAGTGTCCTCCCTATTCATTGCCTACGTTATCTATTATCTTCCACGTCTATACTATTTCAAATTCCTTCCTTTTTCATCCCATCCCCCCTCCCCTCTTTAATTCTTGCCTAGTCTATCTCCTAATCTCTCCTATTTATAGTTGTTCTTTTTTTTTTTTTTTTCTCTGAAAACCAGACCGTTTTTTGATGAATGGAGAATTATGAGTTTGCCTTTGAGTCATTCTTCCCCTCTACCCGGCGACGCGAAGGTCCACTGGCTATAATTTGTCTGAGATGCGCCGTCTCCAAGGGTTCAGGTGGTGTTTAGCTATAGCTCGACCCTAAAAAGACATTTAGCCTTCCACAATCCCCTCTGACCCCGCTTCCAGAAACTACCAACCATTTCCATGCCTCTGATCCACTGCCCAACCACCATCCACAACTTCTACTTCCTGCTCCCCAAAGCCCGACCACTGCCCCTAAGTTTATATCCAGCTGCTGCCATCACCCTCACAACACCATGCTGGCTGTTGTAACCTCATTCTAGCCTCTTGTTACGCCCGTCTCCTCCAACCAATCCCTCACAGCCACCCTAGGGTGTCTTCCATATTTTTATTATTGTTAGGCTCCTATTATCAAGAGTCGATGTTTGTAGTCCTTTTGAATTTCAACAATAAAATTATCATTTTCTATTATGATTTGGGTTTTTTCTCCGGTATCATTTGTAATCAGAGCCAACCCAACCCCAGTTCTATCCTAGAATTCCCTAGATCTGCCCCCGGTATCAGAAACTCTTTCTTGTTAGGATATTGTTTTGTTTTATCTTTGGTAACCTATATTTACAAAATACATTTGGGATCCTAAAGATAAATATTGATAAATATTTGATTAAGGACCATTTTCAATGACAAACACTGACGGTGTGAGTCGAGCCACTCGTTAACGTGCTTGAGCTTAAGGTTGCTATTAAATGAGCTCGAGTTCAAGCTTGTGTAGCTTGGCTTGTTGGCTCGAATAGCCGATTGATGGTCACATTGATGCTTTTTACGGCAAGTTTTCATGACAATTTTTGATATTCTCCAACCATCGACACATTCTCTGGCGAACTCCCATGATAATATGATTTTCAGCTCGAGCTCACAAGCTTGTTATCATTATTGCTAGCCAAGCTCGAGTTCGAGCTTAAATTTTAACAGACGAGTCTTGGTTCAACTCGTTTATTCTCCTAACAACATGCATCTTGAAGCACATATTGATGCATGATCAAGCAGCTCATAGAGCCTCTTGGAATTAATTTGGAGCCTCTGTTTTGCCTTCAATAACATACTCTTTCTCATTTTTGAGAAGGCAAAACAGCTTTACTAACATATTATTTGGAGCCTCTGTTTGCCTTCAATAACAACAACTTTACAATTATTGCTAGCCAAGCACACATCTTGAAGCACATATTTATGCATGATTTATCTCATTGCACTTCTCAAAAATGAGAAAGAGTTTGTTATTTGGTTGGGTAGGTCTGGAAGTGATTTCATCTGATAAAGTTATGGAAAAATTTCAATTTAGTGGTATGCTTGTGAACATTTTTTTTTCTTGAATGAGTTTGTAAATAATCATCTTGGTCAAACCTTTAGGGGAATTTCATCTAAAAAATGAATAGAGGGCACTCTATGGATGTAGAGAAATCTCCACATTTTAATAGGGATGATAAAATGCCCCTAACACCAAAACTCACTCAATTGTTTAAGTGAATAAAATGTCAAATTAAATTTGTTTAGCTCTAAAATTTGTCGACTATCTTGGACAATTTGGCTTTATATATATATATATATATATTAAAGGAATGACCAGAGGCTATTATGTTCCTTGGTTGGGTAGGTCTGGAAGTGTATTCATCTGATACAATTATGAAAAAATTTCAATTTAGTGGTATGCTTGTGATCATTTTTTTTCTTGAATGAGTCTGTAAATAATCATCTTGGTCAAACCTTTAAGGGAATTTTTTCTGAAAAAAATGAATAGAGTGCGCTCTGCGGATGTAGAGAAATCTCCACATTTAATAGGGATGATAAAATGCCCCTAACACCAAAACTCACTCAATTTTTTAAGTGAATAAAATTTCAAATTAAATTTGTTTAACGCTAAAACCTTTCAACTATCTTGGACTATTTAGCTTTATATATATAT